GCTCCATCTACACAGGTTCTGTATCTGCAGATTCGACCAATTGAATTTTTTTTTTTAATTTCAGAAAGTTGACCCCTAAACAACAAAGTGTAACAACTATTAACATAGCATTTGCATTGTATCAGGTATTATAATCATCTAGAGAATATACATAGGTTACATGCAAATATTACATCATCTATGCAAAGTGTCCCCTCGGGAGTTAGACCGGGAGTCCAGGAGTTTGATCACTTGCTATGACGTGTGCTGACCACCAGGGGCTGGTGGGGAACGAAGGAAGGTCCGGGCTGGCAGCCAGAAGGCCCCAATCAACCCTGATTGCTGGCCAGGCCTAGGGACCCTACCCATACACGAATTTTGTGCACCAGGCCTCTAGTATAATTATAAAAACATGAGAAGTCAAAGCTATTTGTGTGTGTGTGTGTGTGTGTGTGTGTGTGTGTGTGCTTTAGGGGGCCTCTTTAAGATATTCCACCAAATCCCAGGAGAAGCATATAATTCTAAACTGCTGTTAGGAATATTTTGGTGGAAAAGTTTGGGAGACACTGTCATTCAATATCGTAGATGCTTTAGTTTTGTATCTTAAATACAAACATTTATAACATTTAAAACTATTATGAAATTACAGCTATTTTATAAATAAGTTCTAATTTAAAACACTTGTGTGTGTTTTATAAAGCACTCTAATGAGAAAATACTTTAATTGTATTGCTAGATTATCCAAGAGTGATATTCAATAATTATTTCATTGTTGTAGATAGTTGTCAGAGTTGGCTGTGACATTTGCCATTATTTTTGCTGTTTGTAATAAACATAAATTATCAAATAGCTCCTAATTTCCTATAAAAGAAAAACTAAGATGATGTACAAAGCTTCTGGATAATCTTAAAGACTTATTTTTCCTTACTTATCATAGTTATGAATTAATAATTATTTCACATTTCTTGGAGATGATTATATATGTATAAAAATACAGATGGTGGATTTATTGCCCCCAAAATAATAAAGATCATATGGCTGACAAAGCTGTTCTATATTGTTAAAAAAGGGTCAATCATGCTTTACAAATGGTATTTAATTTTATAGGACTGAGATAAATATATAAAATTTTATATATTACATACGGTTAGATTTCTGGTGGGGAAAATTCATTCATTCAGAAATTATAGAACTGTTTGCAAGGTAGGTATAGTAGATCTCCAATAATGAATCAGACAGAGAGAATTTGTAATAGGTGAGGGAAGTAAGCAATATTCAATTAGAAATATTATATAAAAGATAAATTAGAAAAAATCCATAATTACATAAAATCCATATTATAAAATATTTATATTATATCATAAATATTGAAAAGGGTCTATAGATTGTATAAAAAATACTGTGGAGAACTGAGGAAAAAATGGGAGAGAAACCTGGAGGGGTAAAGAAAGTATGGTGATCACAAGCGATAGAAATTTAAGTTCACTTGTCTAGGAGATATCAAGGTGACTGAATACTTTATGTATAACATGCCCTTAAGGTATTAGGCATAGGGAGAACTGTTATGTGACTTGTAAATCCCCAGGTGGTTAGAAGAAAAAATGACCTGAAAATTTATAGTTCAAAGGATTTTGTGAATTTAATTTATTTAATGGTTTCCAAATTACAAATTTCTTTTTATATATTTCCAGTTTCTCTTTATCATGGAAGTCATCAAATTCTAAGTTCTAAATTAAAGAAATAAAGGACATGTGGGAATCTGTGAGCATGTATATTCATTGGTGTAACAAATAAGATTTTTAATTGATTGGGAAAATGAGAGAACACTTATTTATTAATTAAATTTCAGGTGTAGGGATATTGAGATGTGTGTTTGCACATGTGTGTATGTGCATTTTTCAAATTACCCATATATATAAGACTAATATGCAAAGTGTCCCATTGGGAGTTCAACCAGGAGACTGGGAGTTCAATTGCTCGCTATGACATATGCTGACCACAAGGGGGCAGCGCAAAACAAAGGAAGGCCCCAGCCAGCAGCCAGAAGGCCCCAATCGGACCTGATAGCTGGCCAGGCCTAGGGACCCTATTCGTGCATGAATTTTGTGCACCAGGCCTCTAGTAGAATATAATGTTTTACTCGCTCTCTTGTATCTCTCATTACCTGGAAATTAGTTATGGATAAAGGATGCTTATTTTAGGGATTACTATTGATACAGAAAAGGAAGATTTTCTCATACTCAAACATTTATATGAACACACGAATGCATAAGAATAAGATTCTTTCTTTCTCTTTCTCTCTCTTTAATTTCCAGGCATAGATATTCTTCATCAACTAGGCCTTGGAGGCAAAGATGTAAGACACTCATCATCAGTGACTGCTACACCATCATCATCTACACCACTACCTCAGGGAGTCCATATAACAGAATCAGGTGTCATTTTAACAAATGACGCTTACATTGAGTCACCTCTCAGGAAAATTTTACCAGTCGACTTAGAACAGCCATTTACAATATTAATTGGATTACAGTCACATAAAGTAAACAATGCATTTCTCTTCAGCATTAGAAATAAAAATAGACTGCAATTAGGAGTTCAATTATTACCTAAGAAAGTAGTGGTACACCTTGGAGGAAAGCAGTCTATATTTTTCAACTATAGTGTTCATGATGAGCGATGGCACTCATTTGCCATCACTATTAGAAACCAACTGGTCTCGATGTTCGTGGAGTGTGGAAAGAAATCTTTTAGCAGAGAGACTCTTTTGGAACTTCAGACATTTGATTCTAACAGTGTGTTCACCTTAGGAAGTATGAACAATGATTCTGTCCATTTTGAAGGAATAGTATGTCAGTTGGATATTATTCCTACTGCAGAAGCATTTGCCAACTATTGCAGATATGTGAAACAGCAGTGCCGCTCTGGGACAAGCCTTCTTCACACAACTATCATACCCGCTAAGATACTAGAAAACGCTGCCTTACCTAAACCATTTGGTGAACATATACTGTCAGGAGACACACTTACCAAAGGCACAAACACTCCAAATATTATCAACAATGAATCTGCAATGGCATATAAACAACAAGAACACCAGACATCAAGGTCTCAGTTGACTTTTCTTCACCCAGGGAATGTCTCTGCTATGGATCTTGAGAGCCATGGGATTCGGGACAAAGAAATAATCACTGAGGAACATACTCAGGCAAATCGAAGCCTGTCAGCGACCCATCATCTCCTCAGTAAGGCAAGAATAAATACCCAGGAGAAATTTAGTTCTCTCTCAAATGTGTCCAGCAATTTAACACAACATAATGATAGAGTAACTGGGCTGATTCTGTTTGAGAAGATATCATCTATTCTTCCACATAAAAAACAAGGTACAGCTATTAATGGTAAGAAGGCTATCAGGGCAAATCTACAAACTAATGAACTCATGGAACTGCAACAGATTTTAAATACAACCTTGTATAGAGTGACAGATGAGCCGTCTGTGGATAATTACCTGGATCTAAGGACGGAAAGTGAAATTGATCCTGATGCTACTTATCCCATTGAAAATAGCTATGAAACTGAGCTTTATGACTACTATTACTACGGTGAGGATCTGAATACAATGCTCAAAATGGAGAATCTCAGAGGGCCAAAAGGGGACACTGGACCTCCCGTAAGTTGTTGTTTTTTAAATGTCTTATGTACTAACTTCCCATATGTTTCAAAAATAATTCTCTAGATTGAACAATGCAGAACAGACCAGAACTGTCTCCAAAATGTATCTTGGCTACGGTGATTGGATTTTTGGTTGCTATAATATATCCAACCAGAATACAACCCTGGCTCAAATATTGCACTTTTTTTGTGGTTTTTATTGGCAGGCTGAAAAGGTTACTTAATTCTGGTAAAGTGGTGTAAGCTATATGTTTTTCTTGTTCAGTTGAAATTCAACCAGGAATTCAACTGCTAAAGATAGACCAGCAATCTTTATTTAAAAACAAAACCAAACCATAAGCTTAATGCATAGTCATGTTAGGAGAAGGATATAAAAGTTATAGTAGACCAAAGAAAAATACATCAATTTAAAAGCCCCTTAGTACCACAGTGTCAAATGAATTAAAACAGAGTGCAAAATTTGTTTTAGATAGATAATTTTGTAGTGAAACATTTACTGGGAAAAAGAAAACCCTTACCATTTTAAATGTAATATTTTAATTGCCATTTAAATTTCAAATCGACCAAACTCAGAATGACCAGTTGCTATGACACGCAATGACCACCAGGGGGTAGATGCTCAATGTAGAAGCCAGACTCGTGGCTGGCAAGTGAAGAAGAAGTGGTGGGAGCCTCTCCTGACTCCTTGGCAGTGCTAAGCACCCTCGGGGCAGGGGGGGAGATGTTTGGGGGGAGCAGGCCTAAGCCAGCAGTTGGACCTCCCCCGAGGGGTCCCGGACTGCGAAAGGGCACAGGCTGGGCTGAAGGAACCCCTGCCCCCAGTGCACAAATGTCGTGTACCAGGCCTCTAGTGGATTAGTAAAAGCTCCATCTACTTAAGACAAAAAATAATTTGTCAGCCCATCAATCCATTCAATGGAAAATCCAGCCAAGTCATTTCATAAACAAAACTACAAAATAATAGATTGATTTTTTTTTGAGCTCTGAAGTTCTTTTGTTGTGTAGGTATAATTACAGATGAACATTTGAAAATTTTTAAATAATTTGAAACTTATTTAAAGCTATTTAAAATCATAATATTAGAAACATTGTTTTTGCCTTTCATATTTGTACCTTAAATAATCAACCTATATGTCTTCAGAAAATAATTTTTTAATTTCAAGAAGACTAACATATACCTCAAAATATTTATTTGATGAGAATAAAGTTTATATCATTGGTTTAGTTCCAGAAACCACAGAATGTAGAATGGGAGAAGATGATGCCACTTGCTTAGCTTATGTTTATTCTGTGGTTATTACTTGAAGTGATTTGTTAGGTATTGAGCAACTCCTATTAGAATGAATTTTTAAAGGTTTTAAAATAAAATCTGAATAATATATCATTACAGAGAAATAAACTCTTCTGAGCTATGACAATTACCAATATAATGGGAAGGTCATATTAAGCAAATTTTTATGGAAACAATTCTTCAGAAAAAGTCAGTATGATGAGATGAACATTAATCTTTTCTATAAAACCCAAAATAGTCATTTCAATGTTGGTAAGTGAAACAATAATACTCAACAGATATTTCCTTAGTCTCTACTATGGGCAAAGAAGGAATAGAGAGTTTGTATAACATAGTCATTGCTCAGAAGAGGCTTAATTTCAATAATGGGGCTATAAGAAGTACATTTATAACTATATCTCACAGTAAAGTAAGATAAATGCCACTGAAAGATAAAAACTAAGTGTGTAGGGTATATATGGTCAAAGGTAAGAAAAATATTTTTGAGAGTATCTCTATGAAAGTTCACTTAAGGCTGAGCTGTTCAGGATAAGTTCTTGTGGACAAAGTTAGTTATAACCTAGGCTTCAAAGAATAGGTATGATTTTGGTAAGTGAAAGGGACTAGTATATTTTTATATAGGAAAAAAGAGCATGATAGCTATCATTTATTGAGTTTTTATCTTGTGGCAGATACTCTACATACCCTTTCCATTCATTATCTTATTTTAAAATAACTTTGTAAGGTTGGTATTCTCATTTTTTCAGGTGAATAAACTAAAGTACTGAGAAGTTAATATACTTGCCTATACCATATTATTAATAATTGATAGAGCCAGGCTATCTGCCTCTAAAGCTCAAACTCTTTTACAATGCTAGGCTGAATAATGTTAGACAATTACGAGATGCAACCTAGACTTCAGGTTGCGGAGAGTTTTAATTGTCAAACTGATAATTCTAACTTCCTCTTCTCAATGGTGAATTTTATAGGCTTCTAAGCAGACATATTACTAAGAATTCAGTCTGATAGCAGTGCCCAGACAGGAAATTTCTGTTATCTTGATGTTACAAGACTAGGACATTAGGGTGATAGCAGTGAAAATGCAAAAGAAAGGCAGGATTCAAGTGATACTTTAAAGGAAAGTTCAACTTTGAGAATCCTACGTCAGCATAGTGTAGAAGACTAAAGGTAGATTTTAAAAAGCTAAGGAGAGATTGAATGGTAGTAAAATGAGAACTTTGTAGGGATTTCTCCACGTGGATGTTGACTGTGTGAAGTCTTAGGGCAGCCTGATTTTCTACTCAGAGGTGACCATTTCTTCCTCTGTATCCCCATGTAGTTCTTTTCTTGTCTTTGAAGTTCAATAAACCTATTAGGTCTATGTCAGTTTTTTTCTGGTACACTTTGATGTGAAAATTATTTTTATTTTATTGTAGAAAAGTCTCCCCTTATGTTTTCAAGCATTTTTCTTTAGCATTTTTCTATGTTCTTCAGGCACATCACTATAGGTATATTGAGTGTCCTTTGTGATGGAAGTATTATTTATTATCTTCTCTATAATCATGTTTATCTGTTGCTTTCTTATTTCATTCTGTGTGTATTCAGTTATCTGGCATCCATATTCCTTTATTGGTTTTTTTTTCAGTTGAATTTCATCAGTTTTTATTGCTTCTGATATGGCTTTCATCTGTAACTAGAGGCCCGGTGCACAAATTCATGCATGGTTGGGGTCCGGCTGGCCCGCCCCTTGAGGCCGATCGGGCCGGCTGTGGGGAGGGGAAACCAGAGATTGGCCGGCCAGCCCCGCCTCCTGGTCAAACTGCAGGGTGAGGGGACAGTTGGCATATTAGCTTTTTATCATATAGGATGCTCTCTTTTTGCTCCTTCTTAAGCTCTTCTGGTTCACATTTCATTACCTTGGTTTTATTTTTATCTCTTTTTTAAAAAATATACTTTATTCATTTTTTTACAGAGAGGAAGGGTAAGGGATAGAAAGTTAGAAACATCTATGAGAGATAAACATCAATTCATCTGCCTCCTGTACACTCCCTACTGGGGATGTGCCCGCAACGAGGGTACATGCCTTTGACTGGAATCTAATCTGGGACCATTCAGTCCACAGGCCGATGCTCTATCCACTGAGCCAAACTGGTTAGGGCTATTTTTATCTCTTGTAACTTTTCTTTGAGCTCTCTTTTTAGAGAAAATTGGCATTTCAAAATTCTTTGAATCTATAGTGAACTATATGCCTGAACCCTTTCTCTGTTGCTTAGAGCAATTCCTCCCGTGAATGTTTTTCCTCCACTTTTAGTTTATGTTTCTGTCCTCACACTTCCCCTCACCTCAATATCTATGCATAGGGCCCTTTCTAGTTTCCTCCTAGTTATTAGTAATTTGTAAAATAAAGATTACTCTATCTGAGCTGCTGTTTGTTTTAGAATAGTATAGGTACATACAAAAGGAAGTAATGTGGAGTGGTACACAGATTCAAATTTGCTGCCCTGAATATCATCTTATATTTAGTTTGTCCTCTACCAGAAACATATCTCCCCTAATTTAATGTGCAATTTGTTGTGAATCCCTTTGTATCACAGGCTCTCTGAGGAGTAATATGATGATTTCTGCTCTTGTCTTTTACCCCTTAGAAATCTAAGGTTAGGAGATTTGGTTGTAAATCATAAACATGACATGTTCTTCCCGTTAATTTGTACCTTCTTTACTTTTGGCTGTTTGGAACTGGGTCTTTACTGAGTCATGAATTATATCTCCTGTGGGTTTCCCATTCCTTTAACACTCATCATTGTAGTCAAAGGATTGTTGGAATGAGCTTTTAGGACTGGTGTACTTTTAGACATCTGTCGCCTGTCCAAGGTTTGAGGTCTGAGGAGGTTTTTTGTTTATTTTTTGTTTCTGGTCATCTCTCAACATCTTTTCTTACACCAATGTTTCTTCATATTTTGTGGTTTGTGGTTGTGGTTCCTTTCTCATTTCATCAGATATGATGTTTTCATCTTTTGATATTTTTTTTGTTGTTTTCAGTGGGTTTTGAGGGAGGGCGGATAGTTTAAAAATTTTTCTTTCTGCCTTCTTTAAAGTAAATTCTCTAGTGATTTTTTAAAACATACATCAGATCATGTCATTTATCTGCCTTCACTCGTCAGTGTCCAAAATATGGAGCACTTAGAATAAATCAAAAACTCTTTTTCATACCCTGGCTGGTGTGGCTTAGTTGGTTGGGCATTGTCCTGTGCCCTGAAAGGTGGCAGGTTTGATTCATGGTCAGGTCACATGCCTGGATTTCGGGCACCATCCCTGGTCAGGGTCTACAGGAGGCAGCTGATCAATGTTTCACTCATATCAATGTTTCTCTCTCTCTCTCCCTTTCCCTTCTTCTCTTTCTGAAAAGTCAATTAAAAAATCTTAAAAAAACCACATACCTCTTTTTCATGACCTGTACAATCAGATGTGATCTGGCCCCTGCTTACCTAAGCAACCTCATCTTGTTCCATTTTTTCTTACTTTCACTATAGCTTTCTTTTAGTTCTTTAATAAGACTATTGTTTTGTTTTGTTTTAATCATACCTGTATTCATTTTATTTATATTTTGTAGAATATTATTTTCTCCTTTTCATTTTTTAGGTCCAACTTATCACTTCTTCAGAGAAGCCTTCTCTAGTACCACAATATAAATTAGTTGCATTATGTCAATCTCTCACTTGGTTGCTTTTTTTCTTCTTCATAGCTAAGTAAATTGTATAATTATGTGTTTATCTGTTAATGTGTCTTTTTATCTAGACTGTAAGCTTCAGGAGAGCTTGATGCTTACTAATGTTTATTGAGTGAGTAAATGAATTAAAAAAGGAATTTCACATGCAGAACAAGGAATGTTAGATGCAGAACTTCTAAGATTAATTGGCCAGGCATTGCTATCTCTTAGAAGTATTGGTGTAGTGAATAAATTTTCCTTACTGTAAGATTACCCTAGTAATAGTAATACTAGAAGTAATACTGAGTACTTGCTATGCCTCATACATACTCTATAGTTTACTGGTTAACTACTATATATCAAACATAGTCACAGGTATTTTATATAAAAAAATCTTTAATACTCATAATAACCCTGAAATGTAAATTTTTATTGTCAATATTTTAAAGATGAGGAAACTAAAGTTAAAAAAGTGCAATTGACTTGTCCAAGGCCACTTAGCTAGTAAATGATTGAGGCATAATTTGAATCTAGGTTTAATAATTACAAAACCATTGTTCTTTTAATTGAATTATGCTTTCTCTTAATAATCAGTAACCTGAAAGATTAAGTGCTTTTTCTAATATGTTATTTTATTTATAGAAAATAATTTATTCTTCTCCAAAAAGTCATGCCACGTAAAATTACTTTGCTTCTATGGTCTCTAGAAAGTGCTCATTTATAACCTGGTCTCAAAGATTTAGAAGTGAAGAATTGCGAAGATAATTTAAAATCTATTTTATTTAGTGCTTATTAAACAATTCAAATATTTTAACCACAATATAAAATATACTTTTACTCTCCAGTATCTATTATTAAATTCCATATTAACTGCCTTTACAATGTGAATGAAATAGCATTTTCTTTTGTCACAAAGTAGTGTGATAAGGCACTAAACCAAAGTAAGATATTTGTTTTAATTTTCCATTTAGGTTTTCATTTTTTAGTTCTTATTTTGGGGGATACCAATTCAAATCAACAGCTCTTAACTTCTGACTATAATAGAAGAACCCAAACTAATTTGAAAAGAATTTTAATTTTTTAAAAAGTGAAATTTTGGGGTGGAAGCTAGTGATCTAATAATAGCTGTTAGATTATTTGAATGGCTCAGGAAGGAGAATTTACTCAGTTTGGGGTTGACTATAAATAATACTTCTACCTCTATATTATGAATTGCATGAGAGACTTTTTATCAAGTTAGGGGGTAGGAAAAGGAAAAAATAAAATTAAAGGAAAACAGACAGTTTAACATATATAAAGAGCATTAGAAAACTGCAAAATGACTGTAATATCAAGAAAGAAGAAAGTTTCAAAGAGAAAAAATTCTACAAAAAAAGAGAAACATTAGGTCATGCTACTTGCTAATGTTAAAGGTAAAGCTAGTATTTTAGCATTGATATGTCTAATTTTAAAGCTCATACTATTTTTTATTGCAATAATGAATGAATATTTATAAAACGGAAAATGTGTATGTCCATAGACACCAAGAATAATGCCATTCCAGCCGAGTGCTCAATAACAGTGAAATGAATGACCAGATAAATATGTACTAACCATATCTAATTAACATTTATCCTTCCAAAATTGATTATTAAAGTAAGTAAAAAAGATGACTTAAGGCACTATATGAGAAAGCAAAGGAGTAATTTCCTATCTGATACATTTAATCACATTTGAAGAACCCAGAACACTTAAAAATTCTATCCGTTTTTGCTCCCATACTTTGTTTCACAAACCAGTTAACTCTGTCAGTGACCCCCTGGTATACTGTGCTGTGTAAGGCAAATTTATTGCCGAATATGCTAGAAGTATCTCATTATAACAGTTTAACACATTACACATGTCCTTATGTAAATCTTTTAAAGGAACATAAAATGGTCTGTGCTTTAACTTCTCAAGGCAAGTCTTCTTTCAAAACGTGTTTGGAAAAACCTGTCATTGTTGGTCTCCAAACCCTAAATTGAATTCCTCTTTCAGTAGTAAAAGTAAATTTAGGTAAAAATTCACCCACAAAACTGCTAGTTATGGTCCCTGTAAAAAAAACAGATACAGCGCCCGTAACCATAAGTCATAGACTTCCATTTCTGGCCAGATTAAAGGGGACACTTGAGTTTCCACTCTCAGCCCTGCTGATTGGGGTTGAGGGGATGCATGTTACTTTGAAATCATCATCAGCTGGTAACTGGGGCTGACAAAGAGCCCTAAATTGAGAGTTTTAATAAAACGCGTGCGAAAAGATGTGTCTATTATGCCTAATATCTTGGCATTTGCTTTCCCAGGGTCCGCCTGGTCCAGCAGGTATCCCAGGTCCCTCAGGAAAGAGAGGCCCACGGGTGAGTAGATGGGTTCCACTTCCCACAGGCTGCTGGAATGAATTACTCTCCAGTACGTTTTTTCCTACTATTGTACAGTATGTACTTCCCTTGGAAACCTGCCTGGATCTTCAAACTTAGCCGTACCTTTGCCAGTTGGAGAGATGCTTAGGAACACGTGCAGCTTGTTTATCTGAGTATAAACGCCCAGCTAAAGCATTCTCTGTGCGCATGCCCAAGGAAGGTGATCAAATGTGTAGATTCGTGGGTGTTCAGGTACTACTTGCCATGTTACTCTCAGTTACAAAGTGATCTCATCTGTAGTGGATAGTCCAAGGTGGAGCTCAGTTACTTTGGGAAATGAAGAGGGGTGGGCTGCCTTAAAATAGTGCATTCCTGGATTACATAGTGGAAAATGCTGGAGCTATTGACTAGAAAAATCACTGTCCTGAGGAAAAATGCGGCCTTAAGGATCAGCGGTAGTTTCTGACATTACACAGGTCCAACCAAAGATGCATTGCTCTGTTAGAATTAGTTTCTTTCAGACTGAAAAATAAATGTGGACTTTTACTGACAGAAAGTCTTCAAAGAGCCAGAAAAAGAACCGTGACTGCGTTACAAAGACAAATGCAAATGCCAGATAAAACCCACTTTCTTTCTAGCCTGATTTTTATCCTACACACAATGTTAAGAAAAATCACCCTAAAATATTACATTAAGTTATCCATGTTCACATCAAACTCTTGTCCATATTTGGGGAGATGAATGCTCACTTGGCTCCAGCGGTTATTTACAGTTTCTTTTATTTCTCGGCACTTGATGACCTATCACACTCCTCCCAGGATGGCTTCTAAAACCTGTCTCCTGTCTCCTGCCTGGAAACCATTCCATCCTCCTCTTTCTCGGTCAGGAGACGTTGGATCCACTTCTGTGAGGGGCCCAGTCCATCTTTGCAAGAATTGCATTCTCTCTCCACTACGAAGACTGTTCTCCCACAGCATGACCTTCAGTTTCTGAATTCCCATCTTTCCTCATGATACAGCACTTTCCCTCCTAATTTCCATCCCCCCCCCATTTATTTGTCCAATCCTCCTTCCTTTAAGGAGGGAACTGTATTTCTCTCCTCAAGGCTAACAATTACATTTGTGTTCCAAATTTTGTCTCCACTCAGTTATTTAACTTAAAACTTGTGACTGTACATTTCTTCTTTCCTAAGTTTTTATTTCATTTGACAATGATCAACAAGTTCTCCTTGTTTTTAAAAGTCCCAAACTTTCATTAATATTAACTTTTTATAAAGTTATTGTCTTGGCTCACTTTTGTGCTGCTAAGCTTTGTGAAATAATAGTTTACTAGTATATCCATTGCTTTAATATCTACAACAACTCATTTGTTATTCCCACAAATTTTTCTATCTACTTTATCAAAATTTATTTTTTTCAGGTTACAAATGACATGTGTCATGAAATCTAATTTTTTTCTTTAATGTTAATCTTATACATATAACTTCAATATTTGCATTGCTGACAGAAATTCTTCAATGCTCTTATTAATTCAGAATTGAAAAGACAGATAAATAAATAATTATTAACATATGTTATGTGTTAAAGCAGAGGTATGGCTCTTCTTGGATAGCAAACCCAAATGACTATAGGGGGCCTAGAGATCTGGAAGGCTTTGTGGTGCAAATCTTAGTTCATCTACTTGCTGGTTAAGTTTCCTCATTTGTAAGGATGAGTGAAAATAACCTACTTGCAGGGTTGTTGTAAGAATTAGCAATAAGAAATATAAAGTGTTATCACAGTTACTTGCACATAGTATATAGTCAGTAAATAGAAGCAATTATTAAATTCAAATTAGCAAACATTCATTGAACGGCTAATATGTGCTAAGTACTACATTGGTAATATTTAGAACAGTCTCTTTTCAAAGAATTCACAATCCTAGAACTAATCAGCACACATCTCGCTCCCCCCCACCCCGCCTCCCCACCATCTGCCTGGCCAATAGGCCTGGACACTTCAGTGGCTGGGCTGAAGGGACTGGGCACCGCCATCTTGTGGCTATGGGCACCAGCATCTTTGTGATGGAGTGACAGCTAATTTGCATATTACTCTTTTATTAGATAGGATAAGCAAAAGCCTAAGTGCACAAAGAGTTAACATGTGTTGAGAGATGAGTAATAAAAACAATTGAACTTTGTTATTTTTAGGCTTCTTACTCTGCAGGGCTTTTAAAAATAACACTAAGCAATATGATTGGAGATAGGGGAGGTACCTGAGGCAGGTAAACACCTCAGGCAATGTTCTGAAGCAAAAGATAGAAAGGACACTTCTACTCTATAATTAGTGTAGCTCAGACGAAAATATCCAAGTTCTCAGAAAATCTAACAGACTTTGTAAAAAACTGAAATATTCATTTTAATGAAATTATAGTATATAACATTATTTGAATGTTAGAATAAACACTGCCTGTTATTTATATCTGCATTTATTCTAAGCATGATCTGACTCTTTTACTATTTGCAGGGCATACCAGGACCACATGGAAATCCTGGATTGCCTGGATTACCAGGTCCAAAGGTGAGTGATTACTAGTGAGTAATTTATGATTTTCTTGACATAAAAGATGGTCCTTAACTTTTAAAGCCAATCTTGGGAGAGTGAGGATCTCTGCTATGTGCAGAGCATAATATTTGATTCTTTAACAGGATTGTCTTAGCTTGGCAGACAGCTCCATTCCTCCAAAGGCCCACTGCTCTTGAACTCATCTGGTCAGTGGTAAAGTCAGTGGTAGGCCTGCTTTGGTATGACAAAGTCTTTATTGTCAAAATATGGTGGCAACATATTGAAACCTTTGAAATATACAGATTAGGATTTGAGTGGTTTACCTTAAATCAAGGTCGTTTTAATGTGCTAATAAATACTGAGGAAATAAAATATCATTCATTTACCTGATCCATACTTCCTAATATTTTCACTTGAAAAAAGATCTGTGAAGATAATGTTTATAGGATGATCAAATTTTTATGAAAACAACTAATCTGAAAGCCTATCACACTATTATCTATCAGACTACTATCAGGATAGTAGTAGGAGCATAGAAAAAGGATATATTCCAGGCTGGTTACCCTGAGAGGAGGTATGGAGATAGAGATCTAACTACATGTTATATTTGTAAAATTTATATGTATATAAAATAAATCCCATAAAATATAGGGAATTAGGTAAACATTAGAGTCTTGGTTGCCAGTAACTTAATGAATTTCTTTTTAAGGCCTTAATAATTCCTCTATTTAATAATGATCACACTCTGAAGTATACATGTAACCATACAGAATAGGGTTTAAGGACATAGGTTTTGGAGTCCAAGAGATCTGGGTTCAAGTCCTAGTCCTCTTGATTTGTATAATAGAAGCAAATCACTTGCTTACCCTCTTTAAGCTTCACTTTCTTCTTCTATAAAATGGGAGAGCCTTGGCCGGTGTGGCTCATTTGGTTGGGTGTGTCCATGCACCGAATGTTACTGGTTCAATTCCCAGTCAGGGCACATGCCCAGATTGCAGGCTGCATCCATTCTTTGATGGGGGTGTGCAGGAGGCACCTGATCAATGTTTTGCTGTTACATCAATGTTTTTCTCTTCCTCTCAACTTTCTCTATCTAAAAAAATCAATAAAAATATTAAAAATAAATAAACAAAAATGGGGAAATCATAGTACATCCTCATAGGATTGAAGTGAAGGCAAGTTACATTAATGCGAGTAAAGCACTTACCATGACATTAGCATGCCATGAGTATTATGATTATTATTAGTAAGTAATAAAATAGCATACAGCTAGGATAATTGAAATCCAAATTTTCTAAAGCTTCTCATCATTACTAATACTTTCTTTAGTTCCATAAAAATGCCTCCAAGAGGAAAAGACTCTTTTAACTCAAGTCTGAATGTGTAACAGTGGGAGGAAAGACAGATGACCTAAAGAATCCCGAAGTGTGCTTTGAAATGTGTGATTCCTGAGTCCTTCAAGCTTCATGTGAGGAACTGAAAGATATTTAGACTAGTCAAGGGTTAAAGTAGCTATAAAGGCCTGGCTCATGCTTCTCCACAGGCCTGAAGTGCCCGGGACTTACAGTCCTGCTAACAGCCTACAGGAAGGAAGGCAGAAGTGGGCGGGGGCAATTTCCACTTGGCTTGTATAATTAGGTATTCAAAACAAACAAATAATAAATATGGAGAATAGGGTGAGGAGAGATGAAAATATAGTGGAGAGCCTTTTATTTAACTGACTTCTTACAATGTGAATACATATTTGGATTGAGAAGATAAAAAACTTTGTATCAAATAAAAATTTTGATTGTCCCAAGATTAAAAACAGTGTATTTTTCAGTATTGATTAGTATGAATATATGTCTTTGGTTAAATGATCTCAGAGAAATGAAAATTTGAATCTCAGGATTTTTTTCTTCAGTATTCTATTTAGTAGTAGTGTGGATATGATTTTGACTATAGCTATTCACTAATAAAATATTTGTATGAACCCATATATAAGGAATTTTTTAAAACCTACTTTTAATTTTAAAACAACTACTTAGACCTCTTGGGGACTTAATCTTATAAGTAAAATATTAATCTTTAATTCATACTTAATTTAATAATTTAAAAACATGATAATTATGTCCAAAACTGACCATGATTTGTTTTAACTCTACATAACTGCACATTAGATTTGTGACAGGTGTTAAAAAATTACCACTTTGTTTTAAAGACATTAAATAAATCTTGCAGTCTGTGGTTTTATAAACCAATTTTCCTAGATATTTAACATGTATTTTAGACTAATCAGAATTAATGCAACAGACAAGCTTTATACTTTATAGTCCTCTTAGAATATGTATTCAAAGCAATGCAAGAAAAGCAGATTGCATGCTCTTGACAAGAAATTTTGACACAGGATATGTAATCACAGGATTGATTTTTCTTCAGGAAATAAAGGTTCCTTTTAAAATAAGGAATTTAGAATATAAAGGCATTTCCAGTGATTTTTCTTTTCTCAGTTATTGTTTAGCAAGAATAACATAGGTAGAATTATTGGCCTTTAAGAAAATTGTATCAAAAGTCATCTTGCCACTTGCACAAGGAATCATCTGTCCATTTCTAAAGGGGGTCACCTGAACCTACAGAAAGAGCAAATTAAGGCAATTGCAAATCTAAAGAGGTTTAACTGAAAGGGGAAATGTGACACATTATGGAACTGTTTTACAAACATATTAGAATTAATGTGCTTTATTAAAATTATTAGAATCAAAAGGTACCTCATCAGTTAAAGATATGAAGCACATAAAGTACTTGGTAGAATGCTTGTACATATACTTAAGAAAATAATAATTCCCTTTTCTTGGAGGAGCTACTTATTAAACAGCTATGCCAATTAGAAATGCAACATTTACTGAAAATACATTTATTATTTGTTAAATAAAAAAAAGTCTTGTGGCTCTAATGAATGAAAATACATTAAGACAGTATAGAAATATGTTGTATTGATTAGGCTATTTTAAAGTTTATAAGGTATTTACCATATCCCACTAAAGTGATATGGCTCAAACCCCAAACTATTACCCTAATGTGGCCAGCTGCTGAAATTTATGTTCAATTCTTTCAGCCTTCTGGTTTTTGCTTTCTGCTGAGCTCTTTGGAATCTATCACATGTCAGGATCAGCCAAGAATTGAAGAGAGTCTATATCCAGGTTTGGGGGGAAACTGCCTCCCTCCCTTCCTTCCTTCCTTCCTTCCTTCCTTCCTTCCTTCCTTCCTTCCCTCCTTCCTTTGAATTTCTCCTTCAATTTACACTCATTCTGGTAGTCCCACACTCTGTCGTCTGACACCATTAGCCAAAAGATCTTTGGTTTCCTGCTTGAATTCTAGCCACGCTGTGAGCTAAAAAAGACAGGAAGTGTTGGTTAGAGAGTATAATACTTAAAATTGAGACTGTGGAGCTTGTGTGGTTATTAGTAATGTTAAAGTTAAGAATATTCAGGTTATGCTACCTCAAGATCATGCTATTTAGTGTTTCCTCACCATTTAGCTCAGCCATACTCTGAAGTTTTTAGTTCCAAATTCTTTTCACTGAAACTTTGCAGCTTTATCAGTAATTCATTCAAGAGTCATGTTGCCTGCTTTTCAAGATGGCAATAATTATAAAATTTATTTTAATGATTGTCTTTAGTCTTATTTTTAACACTAACATTTTTATAATCTATAGAGAATTTGACCCTAAATCTTGCCAGCTAATCTAGTAGGTATTATTATTATTATTATTATTACAGGGGATTAATCTCAATTTCAGAAAGATTAAATGGCCTGTTCAGTCTTTTCACTCCAAATCCCACTGATCTTTTCATTATATTGGGTAGACTTTAATCTGATAAATCTGATCTAACATGTTAATGAGTCTAGTACCTTAGGGAGTTTCCCTCCCTAGACAGAGGGCCTCTGGAGATCCAATGACAGCCCCAAAGAGTTACTCTGATAATGAGGATTTTAGACTCTATAGAAGCTCAGTGGGATAGGTGGGACTTTGGGATCCTTTGAGTTATAATGTGCAGGCAACTTCCTTTTACTCATACTCAAAGGATATATAGCTCTTATATCAAAAGTCATGTAGTAGTAGTAAGTAGAAGTCAGTACTGAAGGTCAAAGTCAGTTATGATTAATTAATTTATAAACATTATATTTAATTCCAAGGAGGACTTGAAAGCCAATCAAATGTGACTTCAAGTGTATCCGGAGTTATAGAATTAATAGAAAATGAGGCAGTATGTAAGTGATTTTGGAGTATTCTCCTTCAATGCAGAGAGTATGCTCTACTTCTTTGACATTTCAGGTAATGTTGGCATGTTCAATAATCTTAGCTTTATTCATTTTATACCAGGATTAACCCACAACTGGCCAGGTTCAAAGCTGACTGCATGCTGACTTGTAGTTCCAGTGCTAGAACATGAGTTGATCAAATACACAAGCATATTTGTGTGGGAATAAAAGAGATTTGACATGTAGCTCTATAAATGTGTTGCCTAATCTATAAAGCTTATGCATAAGAGAAAGTTCTCCCTTTAAATCTAATTTTGATTGCTTAATTACTTTTCCTACTCTTTTGTTTTTGTTTTTGTTTGTTAATCCTCACCCAAGATGTTTTCCCCATTAGTTTTAGAGAGTGGAAAGGATGAGGATTCGGGGGTGGTGGGGAGAGACATAAAAAGAAAAAACCACATCAGTGTGAGGGAGACACATCAATTGGTTGCCTCCTGAACGTGCCTGCAATCCAGGTATGAGCCCCTGACGGGGAATCGAACCCAGACTGATGCTCTAACCACTGAACCATGTGGGTCAGGACTTTCTCACTTTTTAAATTTTTTTTAAATGGAGGATGAAATATCAAATTAGTGAAAGATATTAAGAAATCTGAATGAAAATGATATTAAGAAAGTTGATAAATAATAAAAAATTCAGGTAGGACCTAAAAATAAGAATGTTTAACATGAGTTTTAGAAGTAAAAACATCAGCTACAAAAGATTTTATTATATTCAGATTTCTCAAGGGCTATTATTTCTTAGTTCTTACCTCAAATCAGTTGGTTAAGTGTTATAATAGAAGCTTAAAATATGTTAAAACCAATAAGTAATATTTTTTATTTACTAAAATTGTGATATGAGAAAGAAAAATGATCTGATTTGCCAATAATTTTCCAAGCGATCTTAACCAATTCAATTAATCTTTCTGGATCTCATTGCTTCTTTATCTATAAAATTTGATTCATTAGATAAGCTCTTAATATCTCTTATAAGTTCTAAGTATATTATCTTTATTGTTTGATGAAGAGCTGAGTTTTTAAATTTTGAGATATCATTAAAGCCATTTCTCATCTTACATAATCTTGTAACCAATGATCTAAAATTATAGCCTTAGTGGTGGAAGTGGTGATGGCTATGGAAGGGAAGAGGTCAGCCTGGAAAACAACCTTTTCTTTAAAAATTTTCTTCAACTCTAGAATATAGGACTCTTTGCCAATGAAGACTCATTTCTCATTTGTAAAGTGAAAAGACTTACTGTTGAATGTGAATGGCTTTTCTTTTGGTCATCCTTCTTTCATTGGTCAGTTCTAGTACTCTTGGAAAGCACCCCTGAGAAAAAAGACACGACTATTTTCCTATTTCCCATAGAGTTAAAGTAGCATTTAGAACTCTCTAGGAATGGAAAGCATGATTAGTTGGGAATGGTAATGAAATCAGAATTTGAATTATAAAGAATCTCTCAATTGTGGCCTCTTATTTTATGAGGTGTGAAATAGTTAGAAAAGGAGATACTTTGATAAGTAATCATAAGAAAGATTAACAAGAAAGATTAATATTGTACCAAGAACTTTGATTGAAACCAAATGTCATATTTTTATTAAAACATAAAAGATAAAGATTACTGGAATATAAAAAGTACAATTTTTATAGCAGAATAAAAACAATTTTGGCAATTAGAGGTATTTTTTTGGTTTATTTTTTATTCTAAAAGTAGTGTATGTACATTGCAAGATTTTAGAAAATATTTAAACTTGGAATGATAGGTAAAAATTTTATGAATTATGTAAGCAGGTTTCTTTTACTGAAAGTGTGCCAATGCTAAAATAGAAACTAAACTCAATATGACACAAAAATGAAAAGGTTAATAGAACCTTTACATAGGTCCTTTGAAGAAAGATGATTCAATATTAGTATAACTTTAGTAAATAAATCAGCTATGTCTGGGGAATTTTGAGGTATCTTTTTCAACATTTAAACATAAAGCTAAGAAAAATATACATTAAAAATAAATAATTCATACTCATCTCATTTTAAAATAATTTAATACCATGTAATGTGTATAACTTCTGCTACAACTGAAGATGTGTAATATATGTATTCTATGCTTCACCAAGTGTTTCATAACTGTTTTATCTAGGGCCCCAAAGGAGATCCAGGGTTTTCCCCAGGTCAGGCTACTTCTGGACAAAAGGTAATTATTTGTTCCTGAAATAAAATCATGGTGTTATATATCAAGCATTTAAAAATTGCCTTATCTTATTAATCCTTTTTTCAGGCTTTGCTTGTTGTCAGACAGGGAAGATAGAAAACTATCCTATATAATAAAACCTTAATATGCAAATCGACCAGACGGCAAAACGACCGTTGGAATGATGCACACTGACCAGTCAGGAGCAGCTCCTGCATTGAGCGTTTGCCCCCGGAAGAGGGAGGCGACCAGGAGTTGCGATCAGGGGTTGGGGCCTCCGAGCGGGTGGTGCCAGGCTGCCAGCCAAGGCGGGTGCCAGCAGGGGCCCCCCAATCACCCTGCCTGCCGGTCACCCCGAAGATGGCCCTGATTGCCTGCCAGGCCTAGGGGCCCTACCCTGTATATTGGGAACAGTCTCCTAGATTTAAAAATTAAAACCTGGCAATGCTACTCTAACACCGGAAAAACAGGATGATGCAGCAATGACATGCATGGACTCTGGCTTGCCCATTTTGTGGTCAGCCCTGATTCTGACCCTTATAACTGTGACAAAGCCAATTACTTAACTTCTCTCTGCTTCAGTTTTTCCACCCATAAGATGGAGAAAATGATACTACTGCCTCAGAAGGATCATGTTATGTCCTACTTTTTATAATCAGGGCAAAAAAATGTAGCTGCCCATACAACATAAAGATGCCGTTCACCTGTATGAAAAGTATGCAGCTTCCCAGATTTCGAGAGGGATGTCTGACTGCCTGTTTAGGCCTGACATTCTCTGAGGGGTCCCGGATTATGAGAGGATACAGGCCAGGCTGAGGGAACCCCCCCACGCATGCATGAACTTTGTGCACCAAGCCTCTGGTTGCATTATAGTGAAGGAAGAAATATTTGATGAATTAAGTAAATATGATCATTAATCTCAATCTTACCATTAATTACTTTTTAGTGTCTACTGTGGCCTGCCATTGTACTACCAGCTAATTAGGGATGAGTGGGGCAAAAAATTAGAACAAAATATGATCCTAATCTCAAAAATTTTACTGTTTATATGCATGTACATACTAATACATAAATTCCAGTGCCATTTCATACCTTTTTGTAGATAGTTCTACATACTTTATCTTAAGTCCCACAGAAATTATGCAGTAATCATAATTATCTTGTTTCCAGTTGAATTCATAGAATTTACGGGATTCATCATATGGATAGAAAATGCAGAGTTAATGATATATCTGAGTTATTTGACTTTTAGTCTAATATGCTTTTTTATGTTATCATAATACTCTTGAACACACACACATATGTTTAGGTAAAAAGAAACTAATGTTTTAATGTAAAGATAGCAACACATTTTTATTAGGAGGAGTTTACTGCTTTCAAGTGCAGATGAATACAAAATGAGTCTTAAGGAATACATCTGGAAGCTTTATTTAGACAAGCACGTGATGAATGTGATACAATTAAAGGATGTTTATGTTTATGTGGTATATATTCACAAACTTCTAAAATCCCTGAATACTCTGGTGGTTCCTGGTTGAAAGCTGATCTTTTACATGGCTTACAAAGTCTTTTAAACTTAAAAAATATCGCATCATATTAATGGACTATATAGATATACTAGTACTAACAAGTAAAACAAAAATAATAATTTAAAATCTTAAGGACTTTCTCATCTCAAACGTCTAACTTCTGGTATTTTGAGAAAATAAATATCTACTGCTTACAACACCCCCAGAGTGATATGTTACATCAGCCCAAATGAATGGATACAGCTCCTTAGGGCACACTTAGGTGCCCCTGGTGGCACTGCCGAAGTGGCACCTGAATTAAGTTACATCAAGGTCCAATAGTATTGAAAGTGTGCTTCATTATGGCAGAGTCCCTCCTTATGAAATGTTATGAGTGTGAGTAAAGCCACAGCTATTGCCATTACAGGTCCCAGTGGTATGTACTTTAAGATGACAAATTGCAGAGAAATAGATAGAATAGCTTAACCTCATATCTTTCCTTTCTGTGTATAAACAGTGCTATCAAATGTGATGACGTGTAAAGTTAGGAGGAGACCTTAATGACAGTTGAGCTGACTGCTGCTTAGGATATCTGGGCCACATCGTTAAAACAAAACAAAAAATTTCAAAATGTAAAATAAAATCTTAAAGACGTTATTGCTGTGATGGGACTGAGTTCACTGAATCTAAATACTTTAGAAAGGGAGTGGGAATTTAATTGATTCCTTAATTATTACAAGGAAAAAACATACAGTCCGATAAACAAAAATGCTATCTTTTAAAATATCTACATATAGGACATTTAATTTCTTACTGAAATTTCAGAAATTAGAGTTCCACTCTGTTTTGGTGACTGCATTAAATAAAGTCCTCAAGTTAAGCGTTTAGGTGGCTTCTCTGTACAAAACATACGGTGGTTCAGAATGTGTTCAGTATTTCTATAGAATATAGAATGAGTCAGCCTGGGAGTGGGGGCTTGGCAGGATGTCAGCCTTTTTTTTTTTTAATTTTTGAGTCACTTTATACTAATTGTGGATAATACTAAAGAGGAGAACTGTAGTAAGATACAGGATTTAATAGCAAGTTACCATTGAGCTTTAAGTGAAATCCATCTTTTAAAACTGAGATATATTTCTAAAATGGTAAAATTTAAAAAAATTCTTAGAAATTATATTTACAATAAGTTGGGTTCAAGTGAGGATATTAGTGATATACATACAATATGAATACAAATAAAATATAAATATTAAATTGGTGGGCATATAGGGGCATTGGGAAACAATTGAATTCTATTTTTAACTAGCAATTTTTACAGTAAATATATGATTAAGAATGAAACAATAAAAGCAATGCAGGTGCTAGTCCTTCAAAATGTAATACCCACTAAATAATATCTCTCATAGTGCATAGATAAGTGTTTAAGTCCTTTTGGGATCTCATGGCAAGCAAAGATCATTTAAATAATGGTAATTTTTCCTTTCTCATAAGACACATGAGATAATATTCTAATTTTGGGGGTAGGAAAACTTTGAAGGGAAATCAAGTAATCCACCCGTGATTAGAGCTTGTGGAAGGAGATGATCTCCTATTTCCTATGGCACTTTTCTGTTTCCTCTATCAGAGTAATAAATGTAAAAAACCCAAACCTGTGTCATCCCATCGCAAAAGGAAGACATCTGAAATCATTGAGCAGGTGCATTAAAATGAACATTCGAACAAGTGGAAAAGCACTCCATTGTTAATAACCCGAAACATCCTTTTCTGACTGCTTAATTTGATGACATATTAAAATAGACCATGCACTAAAAACTAAACAGAGCGTAAACAGTCACTAAGGAGTTTATTTGGGTTATTACCTGAGTACTCTTTTTCCTTTCAAACACCATATCTATGTAAATAAATATATATAAACTTCTGCACAGTAAATTGCTGCAGTGGAAACGGGAAAGGGAGGTAAAGAAAAAGTGCACCTATAGAAAGCAGGTGTAATATTACACCCCCGCCCCATTCCTTTTTGACAGGCTTCTCCCCCGCCCCAATTCCGCCCACTTCACTCCTATACTCTCCCCTTCCTACCCCAAGACAGGCTGGCAGCCCTCATGGGATGTGGGGGAGGAGGGAACCGAGGGGCCTAATTGGCCAAACACAGGGCCCTCCTGATCATTTTTCACTGTAGTTGCGCTCTAGTGGTGCCTTTGCAGGGAAGGCGCCCTTGCAGTCCCGCCAGGGGAAGTGCCCCTTTGGGGGGTGGGGGTGGGGAAGGGGGACAACTACAGAAAGGCAGCCCTGCTCTCCACAGCCCTGCATCCTGAGGTTCAAGGTTGCCCATGGGAGACCCCTCGGGCTGTAGGTCCTCACCAAAAAGAGCAGCACCGGTGCCACACCAAGTGCTTGTAGAATTTTAAAGTAAACTTTAGTTTTTAAAAACACGGTAAACCTTGTAGCAGTGAGAACTGGGGGAGGAAGGTCATTCCTAGAGAAAAGGACCCCGGAGAAAAAGGTGCGGGACCACGGAGGTGGGGGGCCCAGTGCAGGTAGGTGCTCAGCATCGGGTGAGAAGGCCCGGGGGCTCCAGAAAAGCTGCCAGAAGTTCCCAGAAACAACGTGGAACGTGAGTCCGATTGTGAAGATCAGAAATGAAGGCAGTGAGATCTTGACGCCCAAGATGAAATCCTGTCGCAAGGGAATTCTAATTTTCAATCCTCTTTTGTACCATTAAACCTCTGTGTTTTGTTCTTAGGGTGACCAAGGCTTGTCTGGCTTAGTGGGCCCCCCTGGTGTGCAAGGTGACAAGGTAAGATGCAGTGTTACTTTGACATAATTAGGTGTCCTGACTCCAGGAGCTCTTCAGTTCCTGGATCTCGTTTTGCAGTTGAGCCTAAGGCCAATGTTTTAAATTTCTTTTCTCAGCAGTAGGAATTAGGATGCTGTCCTAATCCAGGAAAGTGGTGCCCACAAAAGCCAGGGTTGTATGAAAAGGAAAATAAAACCCTTCTGTTAATGATGAGAACATCACTGATAGGATATGGAAGATGTTTTAAAATTATATTAGGAAAGAACCTGATTCTGAACCTTTGAAGTCACTTTTTAAGTTTTATATATCCAAAGGAGTTACATTTGGTTATAGGTAATACATTTGGCTTTTTAAAAAAAGGGTTCTTATTTTATTAGGAAATAATAATCTGTGCCATGATATATATACAAATGTGAAGCCTGATGGGAAGGGTGGAAGTGAGGATTGGGTGGCTACTACAACACAGTAGTCACACCCATATGACTCAGCTTTCTCTGAGGTTAAAAGAAATACTAGCACAGCTATGCTAATCTACACTAATAAAAGAGAAAAATGGTTATTGGCGTACGACGCTACCCTTTTCATTGGCTAATCAGGGCTATATGCAAATTAACTGCCAACTCAGATGGCAGTTAACTGACAACAAAGATGGTGGTTAATTTGCATATGTAGGCACAATGCAGGGAGGCGAAAGGGAAAGCAGGAAGAAGCCCCCTGCCACTGACAGTGATCAGAAGGAAACCAAGGGGGGGAGCTAAGAGCCAGGGGGCAGGACAAAGGCGGCCCTGGGGGCCACCTTTGCCCTGCCTCCAGCCATGATCTGAGAATTGGGCGCTTTTGTCACCCTGGCCAGTGATAGCAGGAAGTAGGGGTGGAGCCAGCGATGGGAGCTGGGCAGGGTCAAGGCTGGCAGTCCCGGACGCTA